GTAGTTTTCGTGATTGATGGTATTAATATAAAATGTAGACAAAATATGAGTAGAAATGAAAAGGAGGAGCATAATAAAGGTGGGTTAAAATTTTTGTAGCATGACAAGTTCATATGAAGGTTGGATAGGTTTTTATGCCTAGGAGCACATTACTGATGCATCATGGCCCATACTCGGTAATACTCAATATGCCACTGCACACAAATCTCCCTCTGGCTAACCTAAATTAGCTCATTAAAGAAATAACAAGTATCTTAATTAAAACATTTAATTATGAATTTTAGAATACATAAATACCTAGCACTGAAGAGCGGTATTGTTGACTGAGGGGCGACGACTCTCCTGGGATCGCATGTGACCCGGTAACCCGACACCAAAAAACAGCGAAGTGGGATGGGATCCTTACACCTTCTTCAAGCACCAAATGTGGCCAATGAAGCAGAATGTATTGTGAAGGATGTCGTATTGGAGGCTGTTATCTCTCACACTTGCCCCGTCAAGGAAAAGGGTGAAGAACCGTGTTGTTGTCAATTTAGGGGATACGACAATCGAGGGATTGAATGAGCCTGAAGAACTGTGTTGTTGTTGTCGTTGGCGACAAGGGCGCCAGACGACCTACAGATCGGAAGTATCTTGGCTTACCTTTAAAGGGTAAATCATAAAGCCTAATGGCTAAATAAACGTCGCCTGTTGCCGTAAACAAACTTGCCTTGCGGCGAATAAACACACGGATAGGCAGATAGTTGGGAGCCCCAGGAGTGCCTCAGGGAGGTAAGCACAGGACCATTCCCACACAGGGAACACTGGGTACCAAACCAATAATTCGGCCTCTGTCTAAAATGCAAAAAAAGTCATCCAGTGCTTCTCAGCAGAGCACAAGCCTACCGCTCAACATGTCTAAGGAAACTCCAAGCCCACCAAGACCTGCCAACTCCCAGCACCTCGGCGCACACCGTCTCCCTGCCTAAAGAACCAGCCAGAAAACGTTCAAAATCTTTCAACTTTTTTTGACCCCAAGAGATATATGCGCCAGGCATAGTAACAATCCGGACCATTGAACAGGTATGCCAGATGGCAGTATCAAAATTCTTAGGCTAAAATCGCAAAACAGAATATAATTGGAGAGCTTCCAGGGGGAGCAGGTATCCAGACCTCCGCTCATCATTAGGGTTCATTCAGGAGGCGTGAAGAACCGTGTCGAGAGTATTATAAGCCAACCGACATTCAAAACTTGTCTACGTTACTCAACGTGTCATAATGAAACGTAAATTACCATAACTTAATCCAAATGAACCTTATGAAGCCTTACTTGAGCTAATACATACTAACCTAATAATATACTGTGTATATGGCTTAATAATAAAGTAAATATGTGTGTTGTCGAACCATTTTGTGTACAATTAGACCATACACAATGCCTGATTCTTTGACAAAAAATAGTTGACTTCTGTTTATTAGTCACAATTCAGGCCGTACCTTACAGTTTGGAATAAAACTTAAGACATCACGGAAGAAAGATTAAATATCAGTCTTCATTATCCTTCATATTAAAATTATAAAAGATGTTCAAAATTATATTACACAGGTACCAATTAGTTACATCAAATATATATATATATATATATATATATATATATATATATATATATATATATATATATATATATATATATATATATATATATATATATATATATATATATATATATATATATATATACGTTGTAAAAGCATATTATAATGTAGAAACAGATTTAATATTTACACGCACAATCTTTACAATAAATGAATACATACATTGTATATATAATAAAATAGAGCCTCAAATTGGGTAATATTATTTAACTTTTTTTTTATTTATATATTTACATGCAAAGCATGTTCACAAGTACAATAAAACAGAAAAAAAACTAAACAAACAACGCACAAAATCACCGGCCTGAGGGGCCTATAGGAAGACATAAACATGTAGTACAATCAAACTAACATAAGGGCATATAACAACAAAAAATGAAATATACAAGCATAAAATAACCAGAACAGGAACCAACACAGACAGCCAAGCAGCCCGAAGGGCTCTCAACAAATGACAAACAAGCACATAGAGAGTACAATATGTCATTTACAAACCAGAACAGGCCCACGCAGGAGCCAGGAAGAAACACCCACACCACACACAAGCACACAAAGACACATCCCCGTGCACGCAGGCACCGGGAAGAAAACCACTCACACACCCACACAGAAGCAAAGAACAAGCAGAACAAAGACAAACAAGCAGACAACGGACAACACAAACACACACCAACTACACCGATAACTCATACTTATCCAGGTACTCTTCTGCCGGAAAGCGCAAACAACACGCCTCCAAAAGCAACAGGACGTCATCCGAGACAGTAATACCAGGAAGCGCAAGCGGATTTGGCATTAACTCAGGGACATCGACAATAAAGCACTGACCCCCCAGAACCCAGATGGAAGAAGGGCTCCAGGAACAGGATGCACCCGGTCAATAATGTCGAACTGCAATGGGTGAACCTTATCATGCGCTTCCCCGGAGGCCAAGATGAGCGGTAAACGGGGCGTCCCAGGGGGCCGAGGCCCAGGCAGCGCAACACGGCACGCACCAGGCCCCACCTCGACCTCCTCACTGGCCCTATCGCCAACCACAGGAGGGCGCACCGGCTGGGATCCTCCATGGCGGACATCCTTCCTGAGCACCATGACGATGCTACGGCCAGCACCAGCACCCACATCATCGACATCAGGAGGAGCAACCACCCCCCACTGTGGAGAATCCCCTGCAGGAGAGAAAACAGACGGTAAGTCGGAGAAACTGGCATCTGCAGCCAGAGGAACATGGACCTCCGCCACCACCTTTGCAGTAAAAAGCGATGCACCCGGTACCTCCCCGTCGACGTCGGAAGACGCACAGTTGCTGAAGTCCCCCACATCGGCCCATGTAGAAGAAGAACGGCGCAAACGTTTGGGCACCGGCTGCAAACTATCAGAACCAGAGACAGAGTCAGAAACATGGGCAGGACGCACAGACGCATGCTGCAGAACAGCAGCAGCCTCTACCACAGGGGGAACCAGGCCCAACACAGTAGGAGACCCAGCATCCACCTCCTCCTCCTCCAGCACGGCCGGGTCACACCGCGAAGACAACACGACAGGTGCAGCAGCAGGAGAAGACGAAGAAGGCGATGGCGGGCTCGGGAGCATCAAGGACATCAACAGGATCAGGACGACTAACCAACGGCAGCACAACTTCCGGTGGAGTGGCGACAACAGCTGCAGGTGCGTCGGGTGACACAGGGGCGCCCCAGCAGCGAACGGAACTGCCACATCTGCACCCATGGAATCCCTCTCCACAGGGAGCGGCGGATATTCGCCACAGAAAACAGTCATTCTTTAAGAAAAAAATAATGGCTCCACTGTCACACCTGTTCCCTCCCTTTCCCCTTCTCCCCTCCCTCCGGTCTCCTACCCTCTCAGCTAGGGGAACCCCTCCCTCCTCAACATATCCGTGCCATGTAGGGGGAGGGGCGACCCTCCCCCTCAACATATCCTTAACATAACCTACATAGTCGTATCTATCTATCTACACACAGGATTAACTTTACGGTGCTTACCCATACATATTCATCTACTACTATTCCTGTCTTCTTCTCCTCCTCGTCCTTTACTCCCCCCTACATGACCGCATACCAACCACATAGACTCCCTCCACCCCCAACATAACCCACGATCAAAGGGTCCCGCGCAGCCGGATGCAGGCATCCGCCACGTGCCAAAACATCCGGGGAATCCCCATAGACCCTATTGGGACTATGCACCTGTGCTCACCTGAGCAGGGGGGCTTAATGAGCTCACCTGCTCAGGTGCTGCGTACGGTTCTAGGCGTACTTTACACTACTTAGGTTCTGTTGGTAATTATTTTTAGTAAGTAAGTGAAGCAAATTATAGAGTTGCTATTTGAACAGAGGTCATCAGTGAAGCACCTCTCAGGAAATGTTCGATTGCCATCAGTTGTGATTCGTGTGTAAAGTGTTTTCAATTCCCGCCGAAGCCGTAAATGCCAAAACTGTTAAATTTAAAAAAAAAACTACTGGAAAAGATCATCAGGACAAATGTAGGGGACTTCGACAAGCCCCAGGCTTCTCGAGGACAGGAAGTGTTAGTGGCCATCAGGTAAGGTAGGCCAGGAAATTAATAAACAAGGGCTTAGGTTGATGGATTAACCAACTTTTTGACCTTTTCATGAGGACTGGCTGAGACGCGTCCAGGTAACTAAGTCTAGACGGTCTCGCAGTTTTCAGACCAGAATCTGAATCTCCAATGACCAAAAACAATAAAGTATTATTACCCTAATAATGTACATTCCATCTCATATTTCTTATCAAAGACCCTATTTTCTCTTCCCCTTTGATTTGATTAAATTGCAAAATGACTTAAAGATTAATATATTCATGCATGTCTCGATATCTTGGCTTTATTAGCCTTCTGTTCTGAGTTATTTATTTCTCAATTAACTTCCCCTTATAATTTTTTCTCACAGATTTACTTGACTAGTCGATCCAAGTGAATAAATATCTCTATGCTTTGTCTCTCTTCCTCCCGTCCTAAGCATTGCCCACAAGCGCTTTCATCACTAAGGTGACCTGGCTCACTTGAGGATATGAGCTTGGTAGACGAAAATAAAGTAATACACTAGGTTGTACACTCGCAAGACTGCTCTCCTAGTTACTTACATCAACCCATATACCAAATTTTTATCTGTAACGGTTAAATAGATACAGACTGACTCATCCTGTTTCCTCATTGCTCATGGAACGACTATTGAGTTAAAAAATAAATTTGGTGCTTTCGGCAATTGACCTCTACTAAGTCGCTGGTCGTAAAGCCAAAAAAGCGAGTAAAGAGATAAATTATTCCATGAATTGATAAAGGCACTTCAGATGCATATTTAATTATAATAAAGTTCCACCTTACAGACCAGCTGATTGTCTGGGCTACCGGAGGCTAGGATTCAACGCCAGTGGAGTCTATGATATATATCCCATTAGGTGAGTTATTATTTTATCGAACACTGTTTCTTTATCTCCTAAAAATGATATCCTTTTATGATTTGGATCTTAGTATAGCCACTGATGAATGACTCACTGACTCTTAATGAAACACACAAGCACCCACATATAAATGCTTCCTGGGGATGTGTGTATGTGTGCGTGTGTTAGAAATATGAGTAGTAAACATAATAGAGGGGAAAACAATTTATCAGTTAGAAAGGCGGGAGTCCAAGAGCTAATAGCTCTATTCTGCAGGAACAAACAGTAAACATAAATAATAACCACAGGTACACACACAATTACGCACGCGCGTACCAAGGCTCATTCCATAATTGCAAAGGATGTGGTATGAAGAAAGGATGATAAAGGAACTGGACTTAATGTTGTTAGAAAAAAAGGCCCAGAGAGGAAACGTGTAAAATACTTTTGGTGATTAACTGAGAGAAAAATAAGGATATGATCACAATGAATACCATTAGAACAAGAGGGCAAAAATAGAAGCTCTTGGAACATAAGAGCAAATGGAAACAGATATTCACAAACTTTCTTTTAGCATACGAGTAAAGAGAAAATGTAATGAATTCAATCAGTAGATAATAGAAGGAAGCTGGCCGAGGTGACCCCTCCACCCGACCCAGGGAGTCGTACGTTATTCCCCTCATCATGACAAAGTGAAGCTCTTGAGGGGATGTGTAATATTGTTAATCATCTAAAGAGAAAGATCCTTGGGAGATTCAAGACACTAGCTTCTGTCACATTGGAGACTGATATGTGATCCTAAGGTATTTGTAATTAAGCTTCCAACCATTCATCAAGTTTCACTTGCTAATCTTTGCTGATGTTGACTGACCTTTATTGGATGTAAAGTAGTAAAATAAATTTTTCTAATAATATAAAATACTGTGATTATTATCTGGGTATATTAATAAAAAGCCAGTGATGTCGTATAGGTTAACATTAGGAATTTGTTTGTAAACTCTATTTTAGCTGTAGACAGAAATATTCAAATGAAGGGATCAAAGAGACATGGCATTCTGCAAAGAGGAGTTGGCACAAAATTTCCTAACTGCACATTATCTGCTAACTATTGTTTTATACTAAATGATTCACATCATGGATTTACTAATGGTTCTTCATGTTTTATAAATTTGCTCTCGTTGTTGTCCTGCATTTATTAATCTGTAGACAGCGGAGAGGATGGCTAAACTGTGTACATTGAATTAAAGCAATTCCGTTTACATTGCTTCGCAAAAGATTCATTAGAAATGAATAGGATTACGGTATGAGGCAGAGAGGTATTTGGAGTTGAATCAGGGCATGGTTATTAAGAAACAAACAAAAGGTCGTTGTTAATGTAAGGAAATCAAAGTTCAAAACTTTTCTACCGTTCTTCACAATGAACAACATAGAGAAGCAAAGCAAAGTACTGGTATTTGATACAAACTACTCATGAGGGTGCAAATGGACAACAAGAACGCCTGGTTGGCGTTCCCTAAAATATCACTGCCAAGTCTAAACCCATGGTGATTGGACCACCAACCTGTACCCCCCCCCCCTCGAAACTTGATCCTTGCTCGAGTTTTCTGCATCCTCGTCCCAGTCTTCCATCCCATGCTTAGCCGCCCTAGGGTCTTGAATTGGATTGGATTCGAGACAACCTGCCAAGATATTGAATGAGAGTGAATAATCTATCTATGTTTACTCTCTGAAGAGACATTGTAGGAATAATATTACCATTATTATATTACCAGCCCTCACATGAAAATCTATATGGCCAGTGGTGAAAAACAAGGATGGGACTACAAAAATAACAAAATGTTTCATAGGGTTGTAACTAAATAAGCAATTACAATATGTGAAGCCTCAACACACTAAAGTTGTCATATGAAAAATTCATGAATGTATTCAGTGTTGGAATGTATAAAAGTTACACAAATTTAAAGAATAAAACATAATAATATTAATGTTAAAAAACGTAACGGGTCTAACTGAGAGCGTCTGTATATAAGCTACAATCTAGTTCCTATCGCACGATGTTCTGTCCATAGCAACCAGGAATGTTCAGTAAGCCATCTTCAGAATATGTTCATTCCATCCAGTGGCCAATCCCAAAGACGATTTATTAACTTTAATGGGCTACTCATTCAAAATAGGAATTTTCTCATATATATTTTTTATTTTTTTATTATGTATTAGCTTACTTTGACTATTTAGATATAGCTTAGGTTAGATGTTTATGTTCTGACACAATTATTTGTATTTGCAGTAAATAGGTTACGTATTTATAGTTGTCATTCATTCAGAGGTCATCAGCGAGTGTTCAGTGAATGTTGGTCTGACGTATGTGGTATACAAAGTTCTGAATGATTCCTTACAAAAGTTTCTAAAGGCCGTCTTTATGTTGGCCTACCTAGCATATGCCGCTGATGTTATCCTTTTGATATGGGCTTCAGGGGACAGGTTTGGCGTGATATTATCCCCCAAGTCTTTCTCTCTCTCTAACACTTGACGAATTTCATCTCCAAAGTGATACGTTGTTTCTGCCCTCCTGCTCCCTACACCTATCTTCATTACATTACATTTGCTTGGGTTAAACTCTAGCAACTATTTGCTCGACCATTCTTTCAGTTTGTCCAGATCTTCTTGAAGCCTTAAGCAGTCCTCCTCTGTCTTAATCCTTCTCAAAATTTTGGCATTGTCAACAAACATATAGAGGAATGAGTCTATACCCTCTGGGATATAATTTACGTATATCAGAAACAGGATAGGTCCGAGTACAGAGCCCTGTGAGACTCCACTGGAGACTTCACGCCAATCTGAGGTCTCATCCCTCACGGTAACTATCTACTTCCTATTTCTTAGGAGCTCCCTTATCCACTGGAGCACTTCACCAGTTACTCCTGCCTGTCTCTCCATTTATGTATCAGCCTTTTATGGGTTACTGTGTCAAAGGCTTTCTGACAGTCCAAGAATATGCAGACCGCCCAGCCTTCTTTTTCTTTCTTCACCTTTGTCACCTGGTCATAGAATTCTATTAAGCCAGTAAGGCAAAATTTATCCTCCCTGATCCCATGTTGGCGATTTGTCACGAAGTCCCGTCTCTCCAGACATGTTACTAAGTTTTTTTTCACGATCTTCTCCATGCATTCTCCATGCATGGTATACAAGTAAAGGACCGTAATTTGGCCAGTAGTTCAGTGCCTCTTGTCTGTCACCCTCTTTGTATATTAGGACCACATTAGCTGTCTTCCATATTTCTGGTAGGTCTCCTGTCTCGAATGACCTACTGTACACTATGGAGAGTGTACAGTAGGTACAACTTGTTATAACAAGTTGTACTCACTTGCTATAGCAAGTAAAGTACCTCTCACACTCCTTCAATATCCACAGTGTGATTCCGTCTGGACCAACAGCCTTTCTCACATCCAGATCCAGCAGGTGTCTTTTGACCTCGTCTCTTGTAATTTCAAACGCTTCCAAGGCCGTCTGGTATACTGCCACCTCTCCTAGCGCAGTGACCTCACCTCGTTCTGTTGTGAAAACCTCCTGGAACTTCTTGTTGAGTTCTTCACACACCTCTTTTTCTGAATAGATGTCCTCACCCGTTCAAAGTTTCATCACCTGTTCTTTCACCGTTGTTTTCCACGTGATGTGACTGTGGAGTAGCTTTGGTTCGGTCTTGACTTTTCTTGCTATATCATTTTCATAATTTTTCTCTGCTTCTCTTCTCACACTAACATACTCATTCCTGCTTCTCTCGTATCACTCTCTGCTTTCTGGTGATCTGTTATTTCAAAAGTTCCTTCACGCCCTTTTGTTCAATTCCTGTGTTTCCATACATGCCCTATTAAACCATGGATTCTTCTTTTACTTCTCGGGTTTTTCCTTTTGGGCCGGGATAAACCTGTTTACTGCATCCTGACATTTTTGGGTGACATAGTCTATCATGTCTAGTACAGACTTAGCTCTGAGGTCTGTGTCCCATGGTATATCCCTTAGGAAACTTCTCATCTCCTCATAATTCCTAGTTCTTTTTTGGGGAGGGAGACAAATCCTAGCTCTACCAGGTACTCAAAGATCAGTACACTGTGATCACTCATTCCCAAGGGTGCTTCCAACTTAACTTCTCTTATATCCCACTCATTTAGGGTAAATATCAGATCAAGCATGGCTGGTTCTTCTTCCCCGCTCATTCTTGTCAGTCCCTTGGTAAGTTGGCTTAGAACGTTTCTTGTTGTCACGTCAAGCAGCTTAGCTCTCCAAGTGTCTGGTCCTTCATGTGGGGTCTCTGTTCTCCCAATCTGTCTCACCGTGGTTGAAGTCTCCTATGATTAATAGTCCAGATATATTCCTGCTAGCGACAGAAGCTGCTCTCTCTATTATGTTAATGGTGGCTATGTTGTTTATATCATATTCCTGTCTAGGTCTTCTGTTATTTGGTAGTGGCCTATATATGACAACGACTATTTCCTCACAACACAGTAGTCCTGTGGAAGCACTGCATTTTATGGTTTTTGTTAGCTTTGTTTCTTTGTTTCTGTAATACATGTTCTCCAAGTTCATTCGTTTTATTTGTAATCCCATCTATGTTAGTGTACATTGCCTTGAGGCTCACATTTTTCTGTTCCTTCTCATGTCCTTTTTTTGGGGGGCGTTCTGTTGTTGGGGGAAGCTGTTCCATAAGTGTGCGGATTTTAGGTGGATAACAGGGTCTCAGAGGATACTGGGGTGAGGGGTAGGAGGTCAAGACCGAACCAAACTTTTTTTAAATTTTCCCACATATTGTAATTGGCTCTTCCTTGCTTTAATAATCTCCTTTGTGGTCTCATTTGAAAACACTATCTTTATCATGCGATCTCTGTCCTTGTTATACCAGCCCAACCTGAAATCCTTTTCAATGCTATGTTATGCCCCTTCTATCTCTAGCCCCTTTAGTATTTCATTCACTGCTGCTCAGTCCTTATCATTCCTTTCCGTCCTATTGGAGCCCTCCTGCT